ATCAATAAAAAACAATATTTATTTAACAATCAGTAGAAATCTGATGAATTACAAATCATAATATGGCAAACTTTGTTATACAATAAAAATAAGTAACAATTCTATCTTATACTCAGTGGTAGGTGCTGCTTTCACTACCTACTAATTGTATTGCAACTAATAGGTTCCAGGTACCTTGTGTTTAGATTCTAGGTGCTACAGAAATCATACGAGCTAACTGATCCAAGTTTATATTATTGATGGTGCTATCGTTACTTGGTGCTACATGTAGGTACTACACTTCTGATGATTTTTTTTTAAACGTATTAATAACCAAAAATAAAATGACTGGGTGTCAGGTGCATGACTAGAATATATATCAGAATTCTGATCAACCACTCTAAATCTATTACTTCTTGTTATAAGCTAGAGTAATTTATTTAATTAAAATGAAAAGAATACCATGCAAATCTACCACCACCTTATTCATGCAAAAGGCTTATAATGAATTTAAGAATGGTGCACTGTCAGACATTGCACCTTTGTACCAAACTGTAAAAGACAACTTTGGTTTCACCTGCCAATTCAGGTATAATAAAATGAAAGTTAAAACAAATTATAAACTTAATAAATAAATATAAATCTACTGAGGAAAAGACATTTTTCTGTGTCTCAAATGGTCAGAAGTTTATATATTATATAAAAACTTCTTTATTTAAATATTGAATAAATCTAGTTCTAAATATTCAATCTTACTTAAAACTTCATGTTCCTTATTGCACTCATGAAATAAGAAATACCGGTAGTAAAAAACTAAACCGACTTTTTACATTTAATGTTCACTTATACATGTAAAATGCAACTTTAGATCTGTAAAAAGGATATTTTGACAAAGCAGTCTCTAATTCTTGACTTTTACATTGTGAAGTAATGATGCATCCTTTATGTCATTTCATAATTGTAAAAATTCAAAAATCTATTCTTTAATCAATGTACTTGGATAACTCTTATTTACAAATAAAAATAACTATAAAACAAGAGGAAATCAAAAAAAGAAAGAAAGAAAGGGGGATGACTCACCTTTTTCAAATAGAAAATTGAGTTATTCCCCCTTTTCAAATATGTTTATAAAAAATTTATAAATGTTGCAATGTTCTATCAAATGCAGTGTGCCTAAGAAACTAAGGTTATTTTTGCCTATTTAACAAATAATTTTTTTTTAAATCTATGCTGATTCTTGTGCTTTTTTGTACTCAAATACACTTCCTCTGCCAACCAGGGAGTGACCTCTTTTGGCCTTTGACCCTTCATCATTTGACTTCCGCTTCCTTTTTCTGGTGTCTGTTTCCTGTTCCTGTTCAGATCCATAACCTCCCCCTCCTGGAGTCTGGAGATAAAATACATCCTGGAAATAAATATTTGTTGAGTGAGATTTTACACGAACAGTAACAATGATTTTTTGTTTTGTTTTGGGGATTTGGTTTTGTTTTTTGTCTTTTAGGAGGTGCAGATTACATTTGAAACTCAAATTATAATGAAGGTAATTGAGTTTGTGAAAAGGTATGGTTTAATTTATTTAGAGTTGGTATATATGAATTCTTCTAGTTATCAATTACTCTTTTGGGAAGACAGATTACTGAAAAAAAAATTTTGACTTAAATATTGATCTTTTACTGTGAAAGACTTAAATGAAACCAAGGTATAAAAAACCATGGTAAATTACTTGTAATGATAATAATTACAGAAAACATACCCCAGCCTGACATTTGATGGAAGTCTTTGATCCCAAATACACCACTCTTCCATCATTGTAGTGAATAAGATTAACTCCCCTCGCTCCGCAAGCTCCACCTGGAAAGCAATCAAGAATAAGTCATATAAGACAAGCTATATGTTGGCATCTGTAACTCTTGGTACACTTGTTTGCAATTCAACAATATGTAACACTTGCATTATTTGTGCTGAATATACTTAGTACATGTAGAGATACATAGCTCGTTGCAAATTACCGGTACATTGAAAACGGACTTTGTTATGTTCGTATTCTCCTTCCCGTGCCTCAACTGAGGAGATAACTTAGAAAATTTTATCAAGTTTGTTTTCACATTAAGAAAATTACTCATGGTGAGAATCAAACCCGGTATCCTAAACTTTGGAGTCGGATACCCAATTGACTGTGCTATCGAAGTTGTTGAAACACACTGGCTTAAACTAACTTCAATACACTTTTTTCGCCTTACTTTCTATAGTATATATGAATTGAGTATTACTTCTATGTAATGTAATTACATGTTTTACAGTATATCGTAGAAATATTCTTTATCATATATTAACAAACATTAAATACAAGCATTTAGAAAGGTGGATTTTACACGGGTTAATATACTCGTGAAAAACTGAAAACTTTTGTATTCTAGGTATAAAGACATGTGTTCAATAAATGAATGGAGATAGATGCTGACCCTTTAATCCATAAGGGGAGAAGACTCTTCTCTCTGTGAGAATGGAGAGGGTGAGGTCTTTACGAAACAAGTACTCCCTGATGATGCCATCTCCTCCTTTGTGTTGACCTTGACCCCCTGTACCAGGGTTAAGGTGAAATCGCTTCAGAATAATTGGATACCTAAATTTAATTTTACATAAAAGTTTTTTAGGATTCAGAATATACAAAACCAAAACAAATAAATGAGTCTGAAATGAAATTAATATAATAAAACACCATACAGCAAAACTCAGTTATAACGAAGTCACAGGACCTATGAAATTACTTCGCTATATCCGTAATTTGTTATAACCGTATTAGAAATTCATTAAATTCATATAGCTGGGGATCCAAGATGACTTCGCTATATCCGTAAATTCGCAATATCGGTGTTCGTACTAAACAAGTTTTGCTGTACATTTATCTAAATAAATAAATAACCAGAAGACTCTGATGAGACTGTAGCTCTACTGGTCTCAACATATAACAAAGGAAAAGTAACACTTGGATTTGAAACTTAACAATATGCAGCAATAAATAGAATTACGTATCTTAGTGTAGTGTACTTGTGTGTCAAATTATATTGAAATCAGACCAAAACTGAAGGAGGAGAAGCGTTTTAAAGGAATTTTACAAAAATTTCTATTTTTAGTAACACTGACATAATTGTTCATTGAGTTTAAAAACAGATGCACTCAATTATGTATCTTAGTGTAGTCTACTTGTGTGCCAAGTTATATTGAAATCAGACCAAAACTGTAGGAGTAGTAGCGTTTTAAAGGAATTTCACGGAAATTTCAATTTTTAGTAACCATGGCAACACCCTTTATCGAAATCAAAAACCAATGCACTAAATTAAGTATCCTAGTGTAGTCTACTTTTGTGTCAAATTATACATGGATTGAAATAACACCAAAACTGTGGGAGGAGTAGCGTTTTTTTTAGTTACTATGGCAACAATGTTCATCGAAATCAAAAACCGATACTCAGAATTATGTATCTCATTGTATTCTACTTGTGTGTCAAGGCACATGTGTTCAACCAAAACTGTAGGAGGAAGTTTTAAAGGAATTTTACCCTTTTTCAGTAACCATGGCAACACCTTCTCATTAGAATGGAAACCGATGCATCAATTTATGTATCTTTGTATAGTCTACTTGTGTGTCAAGTTATATTGAAATCTCCTCCTTTGTGGAGAGCGTTTTAAACCCCCTGACACAGGGTTAAGGTAATATTTTCTTTATAATATTGGATACCTATATATTTAATAGCATTTCACATAAAAATTTTTCTTATTTCAGGAAATAAAACAAAATTAAAAGCACAAATTTCACAAAATTAAATTAGTCTTGATACTGTAGGAAAATGAAATTTATAAATGAAAAATAAAACACCAGAAAATTCAAAGACATGTTCGAAAGCAAAACAAACACACAATATAGGACCAGTTGTGGTGAAATTACGATTCGCTATGCACCCGGTAATTTGTAATAACAATAACAGAGCTCATGCCCTGTTTACAAAAAACTGTGTACATAACATGAGTGTGATTGATTTGCTAAACTCTGTACACAACACTTACATGTAGCTCGAAATGACGACACTTTTGAAGGAGTTTTGCTTTCTAACATTTCTACTCTAAATAAAATTATTTTTCTGGATTAAAGTTTTAATATTTTTCATTAATCTACAACAAAATTGCCACTTTTCCTAAGGATAAAATAAAGGAAAATTTGTGAAACAAGGACGTGTTCAAACCCGCCAAAAAATTTGAAGTTTTAATAACTTATAAATGAAATAAGATTTTTAATTAATTTTTGTGTGAAATGCTATTAAAATATATAAGTAGAGAAAATATTAACTTCAAATCTGTGTGTGCAGAATTTTACAGAAATTCCTATTTCTAGTAATCAAGGCAATGTCGTTCATTGAGTTCAAAAACAGATGCACTAATCTATGTATCTTAGTGTAGTCTACTTGTGTGTCAAGTTATATTGAAATCAGACCAAAACTGTAGGAGGAGTAGCATTTAGAAAAATTGTTTACAGACACAGACAGCTAGACAGACAGATGGACGACGGACACATTACTATCGCCTAAGCTCTTCTGACCAGTAGAGCTTAAAAACAATATTAAATTGTTGTGACCTTCTTTCTAGTATTTCCGGGTCTGTGATACGAGTGTTTGTCATGTGACTGTGCACTCCACTTCTACCATTCCATGTTGGCCCCTATCAATGCAACAGTACTACTGTTATACAATTCAGTATATTTTCCCCCAAACACAAAGAAACTGTTATACAATTTTTGTGTTGGAATATACAGTTACTATCTCAATTTCATACTATATATTCCTTTTGTAAATGTGAGACTGAGATCAACAATGAGCTTGTCTAAGTTTTAAGGCCCCAGAGCCAGTACTCACAGCTCCCGCTCCTCCTGCTACTGTCTCATAATGTCCAAAGGCATCGTCCCCAAATGTGATGTTGTTCATGCAGCCCTGTATAAAAATTACAGTGTAAATAAAACATGTAATGTAAGATTACATCTCTTAAAAGTGTCTAGATAAATATACATGTATTTGTCAGTGACATAGACTTTGCATATGGCCTTGAAGGTCTCAGATCATGTACAAGAGAATTCAAAGGAAAAGTTTTTTAATACCTGAGAAGCTGCACAGACTTGGAAGGCCCTAAAGATTACGTCCACAATTCTCTGGGAGGTCAGGACATTTCCCCCGACCACCGCTGCATTTTCTGAGGGGTCCAGCATACTTCCCTTCGGTATGATGGCAGTCACAGGCTTCAAACATCCCTATATAATAATAAAATGGTCATTCTTAACTGTGTGATAATTGTATTTTACTATGTATACATAACAAAGCAGTAAGACAGAGGATTTCTCTGGTTTGAAACTTTTGAAATTTATAATTCTGAATAAATACAAAATTACATTCCAATTTAGAAACTGCAAAAACTGACAGACAAAATGTTTATAATCACAACATGAAGTCTTTCTCCTTTTTTCCCAATATAAAACACTAACCCTTCACAACATAACAAAAATCTTTATTGTAGTATATTGTTATATACTGTATAGGGGGAAAATAACTCGCGGTGTTAATATTCGCTATATTCACTAACAAATCCGTGAATTCAAGAAACAGTGAATAAATTTAACACATTTGCAAAAACGATAGATTTATATATTCCATGGTCATTTCAGAAGTACTGTCATTCAATTAATTTTAATTATCACGATTCAAATGATAATAATTTGTGTTTTTCAGAAGCTGTTTTAATAGCTAATACATGTTTCATCAATCAAAACACGTGACTTTAATGTTACCACGTGTTTTATTCTCATGCAAAAAATTATCGACATTTTGGTTTTAAAAAATCGTTCAAATACATATCGAACTTACAAACATAACAAGTGTAGATATTATTGTAGTATAAAAATATTTCTTTGATTTGCTTTCGGGTGCACATGCACTTATCTTAATAGCATATAGGAAAGTCTTTAACGTTTAGGGACTATTTATAACTGCACTTGTGTTAATTACTTATGTATAAAATCTAACAATTTTATAATAACTTACCCTGTTGTTCGTGAAATAAAGACATAACGCTGATTAATAATTATCGTTTACATGTAGCTATGGTATGGATTAAATGGAGACAAGGGAAGTAACTTTTATTACATACCAAACTTTGCATTGAGAGAAAAACGTGAAAATTCAAGTTTGATTTCTTTTCCGTCAAGAGTTACAAAGATTTCACCAAAATCTACTTTAAACAACCATAATGTACTGACATTTACTTTGCATTCAAACATTCAATTATAATCGTTTATTCCACCAAAACATTTTTTTAAAAATATTTGTATTTATATTTACCTGGTTCAGAGGGACATCATGTCCAACCATACATCGCAGACAATAGATCAGTGCTGACAGAGTCACTGCCCTTGGTGCATTGCAGTTTCCATACACCTCACAGGTTGACCCTGTAAAATCTACCACTGCAGTACCCTATAAAGCAAAGAAGTAAATTTATTCTTAAAAAAAAGAAGTAGATTTAAGTCAAAAAATTTTTAATATCTTAAATTTCATTCAATGTGTTACCTTAAAATTTTGCAGTTGTGCGAAACACTTCAATTCATACATATGATGAAAATTTTATTTTATTATCAAAATTATTTCCAAAGTCAATTTGAAATTTAGACTTAAGTTTGTTCTCATTTTATGGTCTTGGGGTCAGGTCTTTTCAGTGTGTGAATATAGGATCTCCTATGGATTGAAGCTAGATATGATTTTTATTTATAATATTATAATAAAGGGGATAAAAAAAACTCATAGATATTAAAAAATAATATCCAACCCCACATTTGAAATTCTTTTCAATCACTTGTTAAACATAGGTAAAGTTTACCATATGTTGTATACTATATTTATTTATGAATTCCACTTGACTTTAGAATTTTCACATGAAAAATAAATGTGACCTCAATTATATCAAATCAACACTGTCCACATATGACAAATGTATTCAAGTATCAACTGACTGAAGTCTCACCTTTGTTTCATTTATATCAACACTCAGACAGAGTTTGGCCCCATCGTCCATGTAATCCTCCGCTGACAGTTTTGTGGTACCAGTTCTCTCCCTTGTTCGTCTGGCAATTTCCTTCAACATTTCTTGCACAGCTATTTCTGCATTGGTCTAATAATAAAATTTGAATAAATTACAAGAAAATGTCAAATTTCTCTACATTTTTTACAGTTACTTGACATTTTTGTTGATACATGTATTTGAATCTGTGCATGAGTCTTTCTCCATGTTGTGGAGCATAATGTGACATTTCATTTCCTACTTGAGTACAGAAGCATATTCACCAGAAGAAAAGTCCAAATGTCAAAGGTCAAATGCAGCATCAAAAGTTAATTATTGTTACAATACAATGTAGACATGATGCAGCAGGCCCAATGGTTAGGTTCTCTTTCTTATTGAATTTAAATACATTCCTGATTTTTTTGTTGGTTTAGGAGAAAATACATGTACATTAATATCCTATAATCCTATAGTCAACAGCATGCAAACAAGGGTTGTCAAAAGGTTTAAGAGAGGAGATGCAAAAGAGGGATTGGGAGAGGCAATCCCTCCTCCTAGCAGGACCTAGCTAGATTCTTTTTTTTAAATTTGTGAATTCTTATGCATTCTTGAAGTTACATGTATTTTACTCATATTAAATAAGCAAAATTTAGCAGCATTTATAGAAACCATTTTGTTGTAAAATGTTATTTTTGATCTTCTTTTTTTAACAGGGTGTATATACACCTAATACAGTCATCTTCTTAGTTACCTTGCAAATACACCACTGTTGCTGATGATTCTCATGATTTTAAACTTCCCATTGTAAAAAAAATTAAATTTTATTTTAAGACTAGTATACCTGGATATGAGCCATGTATGCTATAACAACATCTAGTCCATATTCCTCTATCAGCTCCTTGATCAGCTTTATGCCCTAATAAGGTGAGATATTTTTTGTTTAAAAATACATTCATGTACCTAATAAGTACTTAATAAGTGCATTTTCTTAAATCACTCAATACCAACATGAATTGCCAGAATGATATTTCTAGGTCAAGTGGCCTACTTTTTGATTGGCTGCAACCTGAGCTTTGAGGTCACTGAGGTTATCTCCAAGGTTACGAGTCCCACTACTACCTGGGTATCTCCCTGGTTTCATAAGTGCTTTAGTAACAGCTGGAATCAAATTAAGAATAAATGTTACTGATGACAACAAAGTGTCAAGTATGTGTTAATGTCGAGAATTGATTAAATTGATAAAAATAGAATACACATGTAAATGATTAGGCCATAATAAATAAATATTTTCGAATTTTTTTAAAAATCGAGGCGGGAGAGTGGCTTTTAATTTACATTTTTTCAATTTTGCAGATTTTTTATTGACCTGGTCAATCGGTGTAATTTTATCCACAATACCCGAATAAAAGTCATAGTAAAGGTTCAATTATCTCTTACTTCACATCATCACTAATCTTTTTCAACCAATGACCCTCGTTTAAAATATATACGCATGTATTACAGCAACTACCATCTTTTCAGCTGTCAAAATCATGTCGACTTTCGCGGGATTTAAAACGAAAGTAGAATGGTAGATGAATACCGATCCCGATCAGAATTAAGACGAAGAAATTAAAAAAAATCGAGGCGGGGGTATAAAATCGGGGCGGGCGGGGATGAGAATCTAGGAATATTTTTATTATGGCCTTAGTATATGTTTTTATGTAAAAACGTCTTCATCAATTGCATTGTTTTACATCTAATTTATACTTCCTTCAATGTGGGTGTAAATAAAATTCTTGTGGGTTTCTGACATTTATATACAATTTAAATGACCTTGCAAAATTTGATCACACATTTAACAGCATTTTTCTTGGTGCATGAAGTCTAATTCAATCTTAATATTCCTATATTCCTACCTTCCTCTTGGAATATTCCTTGATCCACCAACTTAAATGATTTAAACACAGCACCCTCTTCCTGGATGCACTTGGAATGAGGGGGCATGGAACCAGGAGTTATTCCCCCTATATCAGCGTGGTGCCCCCTACTGGCTACAAAAAATACTGGTTTTTGCTCCCCAGGCCAAAATACCTTGAAATATGAAAAAAGTTTGAGGTTTAATACTAGTCTCTTAACGACAAGTGTAATCTGGTTCCCAATAAAAACTGAAAATACTATGATTTTGTTCAAAATCATTTAAGCAGAACAAAATGCAAACTTGAACTATAATTCATCAAGGTCACATAGCAAAGGATGGACTATAAGAGGAAACCTATACAAAGTAGTCCCCTCTGGTTTCACTGGTAGAGGACTAATAAATATTAATTTACAGTGTTAATAAAATATATTTCTTTGATCATGTACAATAACTATATACATCAAATCATAATGGACATGTATGTTTCCCCATTTTTATTATCAAATTACTGTAAATGTGAATATTTAACACGTTTTGTAAAATAGCCAAAAAAAGCAAACAGTTTATTTGCAGTTATTTTTGTAAAAATGTGTTTACGTATTAAAAATTAAGTATAAATTGCTTTATTATCGCCTAATTAGCATAATTTACACAAACAAGTGAACTTCTGTCTTTACAATATATAACACATTTTCAAGGCCAGATTTGAATACCAGCTAGTATTTGCCGGTATCCAAATATTTTTCCTTTACATTCTTTGCATTAGAAAAGGTTTATTTTCTCATGAACTACTACAGTAAAAATTTAGGTGCAAACTTTTTTTTTCAAAAATATTTGTTGTATGACAAAAATATTTGGCAAGTCATAGCAAAAATTATGTAAATACAAGAAAGAATTCAATTTTTGAGAATTCATGAGGTACATAAACAACGAAGCATCACACTTGCAAATAATCATGAAGTCCTAACATGCTTCACAAAATATGCCGACATGAAGCTTTGTAGTTCATGTACCTCATGAATGAATTCTCACAAATTAAATTTATTTCTTACATGTAGTGCAGTAATTATAGAGTAGTTTGGAGAATTCAAATAAAACATAAAGAGTTATCCTGACCGGGGTAATGGCTGTCAGATCTGGGAGGTGACTCCCTCCTGCCTGGGGATGGTTAGCCAAAATAACATCTCCTTCTTTCAAGTCATCCCCTCTGTGTTTCATCTACAAAATCATCGTAATTTTTATCAATTCTGATCATGTGTTGAGAAGATTTCCTTGTCAGAGATCATTGACCTATTGACCTTTATGTGGAAATTGACAATACCTGGTATTGGACTGTTTCCTGCATGGCCCCCAAGTGAACTGGGATGTGAGGAGCATTAGCTACCAACCCTCCATCAGGCCCAAACATTGCACAAGAAAAATCTAGACGTTCCTAAAAATAAATTCATATTGAGTATTTTGTATTAAGCAATTTTAAGATAATAAATGTGTGTAAAATTCTCAAATATCATTCATCCACTAATAAATGTGTGTAATTTCTCAAATATCATTCATCCACTAATAAATGTGTGTAAAATTCTCAAATATCATTCAACCACTTTTAAAATCATTTTCTGGCCTTCAAATAATTAAATAAGAGAGAAACTTGGACAAAATTTTCATATCATTCAGTGAAGAGAGTATAATCATATTTGTCAATATTATTTTCAAAATAAAATCTCTTACTTTGATGTTTGTTGAAATAGCAGTTCTTTGTAGCACTCTACAAAAAAAAATATCTATACATTCACATGTAGGTTAAGACACAACGTACAAATTACATCCTTTCTAAGCAAAGAAGTATTTAGCACACTCAGATCAAAAACCTGGCATATCAATCAAAGCTTTTTCTTATACAGTCAGATTTTGACACCTCAAACTCAGTGGAGTAGATATTTAAGATATAGTAAGATTTAAAATTATTGAAGTTAAACTATTTTAAGAAGTGGTTGGGACTTTCAACTCAATTATTAATATCCATTGTACTAAACTGCTTATAAATATACTGTAACCCAAAACAACTCCTTCTATAAAATGAAGTCCTACCTTCCCATCTGTTCAGCGATGCTCATAAACCTATTGGAGAAGATAGACAGCTGAATGGCGTCTAGATCTGGTCCTACACGCTGCACCACTCCACTCCCTACCTGTAATTAGTCCGTAATACTGTATGTGTACTTTTAAAAGTAGGCTTCTTATTTTAGCAGCTTTGGCGCAGATAACACTGCGCTAATTCATGAATACCGCTAAGAAATCATTTACATATATATACAATACACTGCACGGACATGTGTAACGCTAATTCAAGATTACGCCAACAACTCCACACCCAATGATTGTGCTAAATTTTGTACACGTACAATATTCAGACAATCTAGCCTCATTAATCCTGGAGCTTCACATTCCAGACAATTCTTTGAGGGAGGAGGGGAGAATTTAATCTTTCAAGGAGCACACGGTGGGTGTGACCAGTCGGCAGGGGATGCTCACTCCTCCATGACACCTGATCCCACCTCTGATGTTTTGGAGGTCCCGTGTTTGCTCTGCTCCTATTTTGTATTGTTTTATGGACTTTTGATCATGAATGCTGTTCATTATCTCCATTTGTTTAATCTTCAAACTATAAAAATTTGGATGGTTCATACTTAAATATGAATGCATTTTCAAAGGTACATGTACATATAAGTAGTTCATGTTAGCAGCAAAATTAAATTTACAATGATAATAAAATAATACCTTTATTTGAACATCTCCATGCTTTGTTATTGTTGCAGTGCAGTTAAGCTCGATCAAAATTGTACTAAAATAAATAAAACAAAATATCAAAACAAATATTAATAAATAATAAAAATATTGAATAAATGAATTTTTTGTTTTTATATTATGTTATACATGTATAATACAGTCAAACTTCGCTATCTCAAACTCGAAGGAGCCAAGAAAAAATTTTGAGACACCCGAGGATTTGAGATATAGAGGGTAAAATACTTAAAGAATAATGGTTGGGACCTCAAAATCACTTTGACATATCCATGGTATTTGACATATTGGAGTCCGAGATACCAAAGTTCAACTGTATTTAACTGAGAAATGTTGTATACAGTGTTACAGTATTTTTGCCCTGAGTTTACACTCCCTTTCAACCTACACCTTTTTTTAAAAATTCTTTCATGCAGTTACCTGTTTCCATTCATGATAATAGCTGGACCTTCAACGGAATGACCATGAGACAAATTCTCCAAAACATAAACCTTTGTCTCCTGGAAACCATGTTCAAAATAGCACTTGGTTGTCTGTAATGGATGAAAAACAAAGCATTGATTAACTTTGTGTCAAAGAAATTTACATGAATCCAATTTTACACCCCCCTCCAGATTGCTGTTGATTATCAAATACTGTACATGTAAATATCTCATCATATCCTTTCACCTCAAACCCCTTTAATATGCATGGTTATTATCCTTAGGGTTTTTCTGAAACATGTACAATGGGTTTGGAACCCACAAACTGCCCCCTCCCAACCCCCCCCTGCCCCACCCAACTAGTTTTCCTTCAATCAACTTCCTTGAATTGAAATATATGATATATTCTGAGAACAAACATGTATGTACTGTAAACCACCTTTTCATACACAATAACATTATTTTCGTACAAAAATATGAGACAATATGCTCGAGAAAATATATTCTCGCGTACTTATTATATAGATTATGAAATATAAATATATATATATATTATTATATATGTATTACATATATTTATATTTAGGAAAATTTTGTCTCCCTAAAAAAGAGAAAATGTCGATCTTGCAAGAAGATTGGGTTGCGAAAATTAAATGATCTACGGTATCAATATTTCCAGTGTCTACCTACTATGTCTGCTATGGGAGTGGAAGTCACAGAAGGATTGTCTTTTTCATCATGCGTCAGAGCCTTTCCCACTCCTCGGACTCTGATGTCGTCTACAATGATTGGACGATCGGGAATGGTGAATCCAAACTCTGTGTGGTACCTTAAAAAATCCTCTAGTATGTAAAAAAAAACCTTAACGCAACAGATGGGCTGATTGATATATTACAGTTACTGTCAATGTATATTTAGCAGTAGTCATATTTTTCTTCCTTCTTTCTTGCACCTGCTTTTCTGATAATTCATCTATATACTAATAGGATTTAAATTAATGCCTGTCATTCAGGCCTCAAGTGCACTAGTTTATGATCTAGCTAATCAGGTGAAAACGAAGACAGAATGTAGATAGAAATTGCAGGTCTGCATGTACCTAAATTATATTATTCACATAAAATTTAAAATGGTAAACTGTTCTGTGCAGCAAACCTTCATTAGAAAATTTAATAATTTAAAGACTTTTATAACATTCAAAAGTAATTTTCATAGCTAAAATTACCTCTCTTGGAATGCTAATTTGAAATCACCAACTTTACAAGAGTTCTGATTGGCTGGGAACTTGTCTGCAGAAATCATTAATGCGCAGTCTGTTCTGTCATATCGCATGTGTAGAAATGGCTGAGTATCTATCTCTTCTCTGTAATCACAGCCAAATTAAATTTTAAACTATTTTTTTCCATTAGATTTTGAAATGTTTTTAAGAAGTAATGCAGTTAAACTTTACCTAAGTTTTAACATTTATAGTTAAATAATATTTTTTTTCTTTCAAATAATCCAAATAATTATCCAATAATACCTTTTAAATCCTTGATGCAGAAGCTCTTTGCAACATTTATCTTGCAAATCGGAAATATGTTGTTCAAAATACTGAAAGAACTCTACGAAATAAAGTGTAAATATAAATACACATCACACAATGATTGTGCATCTTACTCAAATAATTTGTAGTACATGTACATGTACATGTTCTTAAATGAAATAAAATCCTTATCCCTTATTCATTTTTATTCATTAATCCTTATTTATTTTTTTATGATTCTACAATCAGTCAGGGGCATAACTTAAACAAGTTATTTCAAAAATAACTCAAATGAGTTATTTTTTTGTCTCAATGAGTTACTTCTCTTTGCTATGACCTACTTTTTTCCAGCTTTAGTAACTCAAACATGTTATTTTTCCAAAATAGTTTCAATAAATAAATAACTTGTTTAAGTTATTTTGTGTCATTCCTCCCTAACTTCACACCCTGTGCATCAAAGGATTTTGCTCGTGCACCAAGACAAAAACAAATGTTTGACTAAATTTAAACCTTGCGCATTGCAGGAAAAGTGTTCAAAGTCTTTGGAAAAGTGGGGATTTTTTTTAATGTAATGATGAAAATTGGACATATACACCATGTGGATAAAACCACAAAATAAGGTGTAAATGGTGTTTATCTCCACCTCCTCACCAATTCTCCATTGGAATCGGTGAACTCCATCTAGTATTACATAATGGAATCCCAAAATGCAATGCAAATTGGCAGGAAACACAAAATTTCCAAGAAATCAATGTCCAAGTAGGATATAAAAATAACTTATGTAAGTTATTTTTATAAAAAAAAATTGTGTGGTGAAAATAATGTAAAATAACTTATTTAAGTTATTTCTTCAATAACTTGTTTGAGTTATGCCCCCTGACTGACAATGGGTTGATTAAGTAGGTGAATAGTTCTGAAGCAATTAAAGAGCTCTTAGAGAAATTTTCAGACAGGATAAAATCATACATGTATTTAACACAGATAGAGCAACCATTACAGAGTAGTTTCCCCTTACCAGGCCATTACAGAGTAGTTCCCCTTACCAGGTTTGTATTCCTTGGCACAAGGTTCCTGGGCCTCGTGCACTACATCAGCCAGAGCCATACCGTAGGCCGACAGGATGCCTGCATACCTAAAACAAATCACAGGGACTTACTCACAATTACTCTTCATGAATTAGTTAAAGGTACAGTACCAACATTCAGTTTTTATCACTGAGGAAATACAAGTATGTCTGCATATTAAATTTAAAGTACCGGGTTAAATCCTCTCAAGTTAGAAATACCATTCTCAAATTAATGTCCTTAAAAATTACCTATGCACAAAGACCTTTGACATTCCAAGAGAACGTGCTATTGCACATGCATGTTGTCCCCCTGCTCCACCAAAGCATGCCAGCACATGTTTAGATGTGTCGTAACCTTTCGCCTAAATAAAACATTTCATTTCAATACTAAATAAACATCCAAAAGTTTCATTGCATGAATTTAAAATAATGGTGATGCAGTAGAAGTTGCACATAATTAATTTCTTTATGAAAATTGTATTGATATTTAATAGGATAGAAATTGACCTGCGTAAGAGCTCTGATTGGACGACACATGGTCTCGTTGGCTACTTGGATAAATCCCATCGCTACCTCTTCAGTTATCATCTTCTTTTTAGGTGAGTCTTCTTGTGTAGACAGAAATTCATTAACCTGTATATTGATGTCAATAAATATAAACAGTTAGCAATGTTTTCATTGAAATGTACAGGACGGAATCATTTTACAAATACTCCTTGCTTGAACTTGATCATATTGGCTCTGACATATGTTTAAGGTCTTCCAATAAAACATCACTAGCCATTTCAAATAATAAAACTTAAGACTTTCATCATCTACTTTTTGTGGTGCTTAAGTAATGAGATTTATTATTATCCCTCACCCAAATGGTGCTTAGTCACCCCTTCCCCCCATCCCTCAACAAATCAAAATTATGCAATATTAGCAATCATCTAAATGTATATCAAGCAGTGGAGATTGATGGTGCTGAAAATGCTGTACCCAAGATCACAACTTCGACAACCAAGCTAAATGATAAACCATGTTCATTCGACATACAACCCATCTTTAATTTTTACACTTTAACACAGACTGACAATTAAAGTGAAATGTCACCCATACAGTTGTGTCTACCTCTTTTGTGAGTTTCTTAAATGCCCTGTCTGTAGCTGCCTTGTCTAGTGGACTTTTCTGATTTTTCCCAAATATTTTAGGAAAATATTCTGGCAAAAGTCGTCCAAGACATAGATTAGCATCTGTTATAGTCAAAGGACCTCCTGAAAAGGAAATAAAAATTTCAAATAAAATTTTTCAACCATATATAGAGTACTGGTAACTAATAAATTGAATGACCTTAACTTGTGTACATAACTGATTCTAATACATGTAACTTCAATAACTAATGATGACACCCATTGAGGATAAAACATGGACTAGTTCTCCTTATATACCGGTATCTACAATGTACATGTATATAGAATACAATTTCTGAAAGAAATATACAGTTAAACCTCATAACCTTGAACCCAATAACACTGAGGAAAAAACTTCTACAAACAGATATCCTGTGATTTGAGACATCAAGGTTAAAATACATGTACAGTACATTAACTAAAGGAGAGTAGTTAGGACTTTAAAAATTACTTGTAGCATATCATGGTGATTGAGACATTGAGATTAGAGAAAATAAAGTTCAACTGTAGATAACTCGTGGTATATTTTATTGTAAAAATTTTTTGTGTAAGATTTTAATGTTGACCTTTCTTGTAGCATGCTGGGCCTGGATCTGCTCCCGCTGACTCAGGTCCAACCACAAACATTCCCGCTCGGAAGAAAAGCATGGATCCACCACCTGCCGCCACTGTGTTAATATCCAGCTAAAAAGTACATAATGACATAATGATGGTAATTTCCTTATATTTTTTTTCAGATTTCATATTAAAATATGTTTAACTCTGAATCAGACAAAATAAATTTCATGGCTTCTTGCTATTTAATGAATAGTATTATTCCTTCCCAAAAATTAAAATTCACCCTTTAAGGACTTTGCGGGTTATAAAGAGAAAAGTAAAAAAAACATATTCAGGCTCTTATATTCTGTTTTTAAATATACCATATGATGATCTCAAAACAAGAATGAATATTTTGAATCTAAATCATATTACACAGAAAGTTTTTGCAAAATTAATATAATTCTCTTGAAATTGCTTGTGGTTTCAAACACGTGTTCATACTGACCAGCATACCTGCTGACATCTGTTGAGGTCCCTATAAGATTATTAAATAAATGTAAATCAATATATTTAAATAAGTCCCACACATCTTTCATAAAGAAATTAAAACATCTCAATATCATCAAAGTATAAATGTGCATAAACCTTGCATATCAAAGTAACAATCGCCCATGTGTAAGAAATCTCTTGGTTTTGAACATGTACTTCATAATGTGGTAACAAATCTTCCTTATCGAAGGAACTTGCCTCAAGTTGAAGTAAACCTCTCATACACATATGTATTTTAAATAACATACCTTTCATGTGTCAAAATAACATACATCCTCTGTGTCAAAATAGCATACATGTACCTCTCCTTTGTCAAAATAACATACCTGCCCTATGTCAAAATGATATATTTACTCCCTATGTCATAATAACTTACCTCCCATGTCAAAGCCTATGACAGCCTGTTTAGTTTCTTGGTTATAAGTTGTTAAGGCATAACCAACCACTCCGCCAGCTGGGCCAGATAATATTGCTCTGGAACCATTAAATCTGGAACAAAGATAATTCTGGTTATATATGAAAGAGAGAGAGAGAGAGACAGAGAGAGAGAGGGGGGAGAGAGAGAGAGCAAGAGAGAGAGAAAAAGAGAAACCATGCAAAGTCAACACAATATTAAAGCCTTCAAATTGTTTCATACTTATCAACTGGAGTTAGACCTCCATCTGACTGCATGAAAAGAACTGATGTGTTCTAAAGAGAATCATAATAAATATAAAAAACCAGAAGTCTCTGTCGAGACTGAAGCTCTACTGGTTTGAACTTATAGCAAAGGAAGAGAAGAGTACTTAAGCAGCTGGGATTTGAAACTTTACAACAGCAATATATAGAATAATGATCGTTGAAAAATTTAGTGTAGCTCTCTTGTGTGAGTTATATTGAAATCAGAAAAATAGGATAGTAGCATTTTGAGACAATTTTGACATTTCAATTTTTGTAACCACGGCAACACAGTTCATCAAAATTAAAATTTGATACACAGAATTATGTACAGTGTATTCTACTTGTGTGCCAAGTTATATTGAAGATTGCAAAACTGTAGGAAAGAGATTTTGAAACAATTTTACAGATATTTCCATTTTTAGTAACCACGGCAACACCGTTCATCAAAATCAAAAACCGATACACAGATTTATGTATCTTAGTATATTCTGTTGTGTGCCATTTATAAAATCAGACCAAAACTGTAAGAGACGTAACATTTTGAAAGAATTTTACAGATATTTCTATTTTTAGTAACCACGGCAACACCGTTCATCTAAATCAAAAACCGATACACAGATTTATGTATTTTAGTGTATTCTACTTGTGTGCCAAATTATACTAAAATCAGACCAAAACTGTAGGAGGAGTAGCATTTTGAAAGAATTTCACAGAAATTTCTATTTTTAGTAACCACGGCAACACCGTTCATCTAAATCAAAAACCGATACACAGAATTATGTATCTTAGTGTATTCAACTTGTGTGCCAAGTTATACTGAAATCATACCAAAACTGTAGGAGGATTAGCATTTTGAAAGAATTTCACAGAAATTTCTATTTTTTAACCACGGCAACACCGTTATTCAAAAACCATACACAGAATTATGTGCCTATATGGTTTTGTGTGCCAAGTTATATTGAAATCAGACTAAAACTGTAGGAGGAGTTTTTGAAAGAATTTCACAGAAATTTCTATTTTTAGTAACCACGGCAACACCGTTCATCGACAAAAAACATTATAGAGAAATGTATCATAGTGTAGATATACTTGTGTGCCAAGTTATATTGAAATTAGACCAAAAAGGAGGAGTAGCATTTTGAAAAATTGTTTACAGAAAGGAAACATTTATAGAAGTGCGACAAAGCATAACGGATTCGCATAATCTGGTTGTCACGTCGCCTAATAATAAAAACAGATTCTAAAATTAAATTCAAGTTAACATAATTGAAATTTAAGTTATTGTAGCACTAAATCTTAAGTCAAACCTTAATGTTATCTTTAAAACCAGAAGCAAATCCTGCTACATATTTCTTGATATGAGGCGTCAAATAAGCATCAAAATGTAAAAATAAATAAATAAACTAGCTAAATACAATAAACTAAGTTTATTACACAATAAATTTTCCATAAGAAATGTGTCAACAAGTTTATACAACCTCGTACTTCATAATGTGGTAACAAATCTTGTGAAGGCCAAAGGCCTTATCGAAGGAACTTGCCTCAAGTTGAAGTTTATAAACCTGTTATTTATTACTTATATATACATTTGAGATGAACAATTAAATATTAAATTAAATATATTTGGAGATAAGTATTGCACTAACCAGTCGCCGTAGATTTCCGTCTAAAGTACGCAAGGTGTAAATCGGCTTGAAAGGCCTCTCCTTTGTCTAAGAATTCTATACGAAGGGAATATTTTGTGATCAAATAGTGAATATTTTATTCTGGGAATTTTTTTATTTGTGAAAATTGATCATTAATGCTGTCAAAGACCTATGACACGCCTATTGATGATAAAAAGTTGGAGGAATTTCGGTCGCCTGAAAGGGATGGATGGATCCGATGGATAGAGACACTTGTCCGAGCCAGTTAATTTGCAATCAAGTGTTTTAATTTTGATAAAAACATTTAATCTACGATTTCAGTAACTAAAGGTATATTTATGATGTTATATATGGAGAGAGAGAGAGAGAGAGAGAGAGAGAGAGAGAGAGAGAGAGAGAGAGAGAGAGAGAGAGAGAGCTGAAAGAGCTTGATTGCAATGCTTTGATAAAGTCATTTACACATTTATCGTGAGTAGAATTTAATGAAAATATATAGCTTTAGCCTATATCATGAAGATTTAACTTAAGATCTAACAAAAATAAGGATACTGTGCAGTTCACAAAAGTGACATACAACGTGTAAACAAAGGCTAGACCATAGATTCTATAGGTATATTCTCTATGTACACAGGTTAAATCGATCGCCAAAAATGTATGAAGTATTTGTTCACGTTGTAAATGAAACAATTATTTCACTTGCTTATGTTGTTCATCTTTATACATGAAAAGCAAGTCTTTTTTTATATTTATAAGTAACGGTATATATTATTGCGCTGTGTGATTCGGTCATGTATTGACCTTTGACCTCCGACAAACTTCATACAGAATTGAAGATATTTTCTCTCTGTATGTTTATATAGAGGAAAGATACCACAAATGTATATATTATACAATAAACAAAGTTTATTTGCTATTCATTACCCCCCCCCCCTCCTTAACACAGGTGGAGGGGATATAGAAATGCAATTGGTTGTGTGTGTGTTTCTTTGAGTATTTATGTCCTGTGTGAAAAAGAATTGATGTTATTTGCATCAGGATTAATGCCAAATGCTATCTTGATTTATAGATATCTTTTCAAGGGGATGCTCCATTCTGCGATGCTCTTGTTTTGCATTTATAATTTTAAATAAACATTTCCTCTGCCTCAAAGGTTAGCCATCATAAAAAGATTTCAAATGACAAATTAAGGCTAAAAATGTTGTGAATAATAATTGGTTTTTGGCGGGATAATCATGTAAATGACTAAACCAATATCAAGTCCCAATTATTCAATTAATTGTTCTCTATGTACCTGTTGGGATTGAAAATATATTTTATACCTGTGTAACCTCTTGGAACCACTCTCACCATGGACATGACATCAGAAGACAGGGACACCTGGTGGAAGCCCATGTCCTGTGCAATTCTGCCCACTTCCTTCTCATGCTCTGTAAATCTGTAACAATTTGATTCTTGCAATATTAACTAAAATTGAATTTTACACAAATTTACCCCTTAAATAAAATTTATGAGATAATTTTTAGGTCATGCTTCATCGTCGGAACCCACGAATTTTCTCTCCATTTCACTGCATTCAACAGTTAAATGCAGTGTAACGTAGAGAAAATCTGTGGGTTCTGACGATGGTCATGCTTTTGACACTGAAGAATCAGGCATTTTGTGTGTTATTATTTTTGTAAAATCTTAAACTTTTCCAAGTGTGTGAGTTAAAGTTAATGAAATCTTTACGTGTATGAGTGAAGTAAAACCACGGCAAGACTTTGAATTCCTTTGTCTAGAAGAGCCTGCAAATCTTCTCTTAGTTTCTCTCTGTTCACTTTCTGCCAAATCTCCAACTAGAAGTTAATGTTCATACATGTACCAGGGGTAGATGGGTTTTTTTTTAATTGATAAACTAAATAAAATTACACATGCATTCCAATATAAATGAGCTTAATGTGCATTATGAAGGTCTCGACCTTTTCTCCAGTGACCCCTGTGACCTTGTCACATGACTTCTGGATTTGACATTTATCTTGCTGGAATACAACTCTCTCTTCCACTTCTAAAATGTCACTGTACAACTGATCAGGAGCAGATATTTCCTAAAAAAAAAAAAACATGTCATATTACAAATATGTATATTATAATTTTAGTATGTTTATTTTACTTCATCAAAAATAAAATTCATAAACTTCTGTTTTGCTACCATTACCGAACAAAGAAACTGTAAGCAAGCAAATAATGTAAACCTGCAGATATAATGGTTCTCTGGCTAGATTTTTGCAAATGTGCAATCTATTGTTACTCACAAATATTTCTTGTCATCAACCATGGACTCTTTGAATAATATTTATGTATAAAGTTCCCCTATTGTGAAAATTAATCCTTGCAGATGTATTTCAAACAGAGGAATAAATCTGGATTTCAAAAATGAAAATTTAGAAATTGAAGTAAATCTCAAGTTTTCATACAAGATCAAATATCTGTGGTCTAGCTTGGTTTCCTATGTACAACAAGTCCTTGAATCCCTTGGTGATAGCCAGTGCCATGGGTTCACCTTTTCTCTCTAAAAGTGCATTGGTGGCAACAGTGGTCCCCATTCGTATCCAGTCAATGTAAGATGTATCAATGGGTTTATCTGCACTCATTTGAATACCTGTCTTCTGTAAAGATAGAAATGAGAGTTTTCAGAACACAGGTGGGGTCAAATTGCTAATATTTTGTAGATAAAGATTTAAATCAAGAGAGAAGATTTTAACTTTTAAGATTAAAATTCAAACTTGCTAAATAGTATTACACTAACAGTCAATAATTTAGATGATTGAGTACCTGTTCTATAAATAATAAATTAACAATCAATAATTTATAAATGACATGTATGAAATAGTACTTGTTCTAATCATATTACATTTACAAGCAATAATTTATATGATGTAGTACCTGTTCTAAAAGTCTTCTTATTCCTTCTCTTGGGGCATCTTTGTAATTCTGTGGATCCTCAGAGAGAAGTTTCATAACTTCAATTTCACCTCCTGGGCATCTGGCCCATATGTCTGTAAACGTCCCTCCTCTGTCTATTGCAAACTGAAATTTTCCTGTCATTGTATCTGAAAAAAAACTATGAAATTCATAAAGAATTTATTAATTTCAACCTTTTGAAGTGCTTATCTGCATACATACTAATGATTTGAAAAGAAAACTTTGAAATCCAATATGAATTTTAATTCTTACAGTGTAATTTTAACCATATGTAATGCTTACTTGTATAAATAATGAACTTCCCTTCCATATGATCATCAATCAAAAATACAAAAAAGGCTATTCAAATAAGTATGACCAGAAAGTTAAGCAGAAACCAATTTAAGTGTGTAGAAATAACACCTGGGTTCTTCAATCTATATACAAGGCCATCCTTTAAAAATTGTTTGTTTGGAATTGCCGCCTGGAGGGTTTCAGACACAGGAGGGAGGGAGGGAAATTATTTTTTTTTTAATTGAAGATAAATTATAAATTTTTGATAAAAAAGAACAAAAATACCTAATTTTACATAGATCTGAACTATATTTCAGTGTTTTGTATGGTGTGTGTGTAGAAATAACTACTTTTGGTCAATAAAATTTTTTCAGGAGGGGGGCATTTCAATCAATTCCAAACAAACTATAATACCTAATGACATTCAAGAAAAAGGGAAGAATCATATAAAAAGTTAGAACTGTTGAAGGTACACTTCAATCAAACATGCATTGTAGAGAACTTTTCCCCCAAAACAGTTTTAAAGAATGAACGTACAGCAAGGTTTGCAACTGTGTGCAAAGTTACTTTTTGAATATTACTCCTTACTAATATTTTAAATTTTGAACAGTTTTAATTGACCCGCTAATTTAGAATTAATGCCTATAATTCATATTCGTCAGTTCGTCTGCTGGTCATCTGTCCTGAATAGTGTCCTCAGTGCTGTGCCAAATTACGACCCCAACGATTTGACGTATTTTGATATTTAGAGTGTGGATGCATACGATGATGCGCGTTTATTAGATCTTTTTTTAAAATTTCCTGAACAAAAGAAATGTCACAAAATGAAAAGTTTCACGCAAAACAAGTTTAAAAAACACGTACCCTATAAAATTCTTTCCAATAGCCGAAATCCTGTTCAAAATACATGTAGGAAATATACATCAAACACTACTTTTAAACTTTTTGTGCAAATATGAAAATTCCGGCTATTTTTTGTTTTTATTTTACACTATTTTAGACGTAACGATGTATGGGGTAATGTTTTACTTGTTCCCTTTTCAGAAAAATTCATATTGATCAAAACTTTGACAACAATATATGGAGAAAATAGATTTTAAGTAAAGCATTCAAATATCGAATTAACGAAGCTCGACTTAATTTATTCTGATAAGGCGCAGGCGCGGGAATATTCGAAGCGTTCAAAGCAAGCCTACAAACTTTATAAACAAACTTTTAAAGGTAAAATGTTTTTCTTTTATTCGGTAATAAGTTAACCATCAATATGATAATGAATTGTAACGTTAAGGTATAGAAATTTATGTCCCTCAACTACCGTGCATAAATAATCTGTAAATATGTGCTGATGATTTTTTCCATTTCATAAGATGGGCGATTGGATCCATTGCAATAATTGTTTTCTTCGACCTGTGAATGCAGTGCTTCAGTTTAGACTTACTACATGTGGACATATTTACTGTGACAACTGTATAAGCAATGGTAAAAATATTTATGCTAATAATATATTCCAGAGAAGAGGAAGTAGACTTAATTATTCTGTTTTGTTTGTTTATATCCTTTAGTGGGCTTTACAAATATTTAAAGTAAAATAAGCCTATGTGTATTGAAACTAGTAATTGAAACAATAGTTTTGTGGATTTAATTTTAGTAAAGTAAGATATGAACAAATTATCAAATTTAGCAAATTTCAATTGCAGCAACAAAACCCAAATGCCAAATGTGTGGTTCAACCAATGTCAATGCCATTCCTCTCTCAGCCAAGGTAAATTCTCCATTTTATTGATTGATTGTAATATATGTTACATTACAATAATTGCCTGCAAAATGATGGTTCGTTTACATTGTAATGTTTGACCCATGGATATAATCATATTGGCATTGGTAGCTCAGTAAGCATCTTCGCTAGCCAAGGGTTTCTGATACGCTCCTCTCCTCATAAACCCTTGGTCAAAAGACGGGATTGTTTTCCGTCACGTGATCTCGAATCTATCAGGTACGCACAGATTGCGTCATCGCCAGAAATAAAGACGTGTTAAAAAAAATTGAATCAAAGTGTTTCAAGAATAATTAAGAAGCAGTAATTGAGTTATGTTTATTCATTATTTATAGAACAAATCTGAAGCTTCAATTTAGATTCTTAATCACATATTTAGAAGATACCAGTATTGGATGACACCATGGCTATTCATAGAATTGAATGTTATATTCTTACGGATCGTTGTTTACTTGCTTTTTTTCATTTCCGAGATTAAAGAGTGAAGATGTATCCCGAACGCAAATATCGTCATTTACAAAAAACAATTGCTGATTGGTCGACCTGGGTGTACTGAAATCCAATCAGAACTCTGGAAAAAAATCCCGATTTCTATGAACACCGTAGGCCAAGGGTTTATGAGGAGAGTAGCGTATCAGAAACCCTTGGCTAGCGAAGATGCTCAGTAAGAAGAGCACAACACTAGTGATGCAGTGGTCCCTGATTCGATTCCTGGTACAGCCATATACTGTATACAGGGAAATTTTCGCCCTGTTTTATTTTCGCCTCTTTCCCCCTACCACTTGGGGGAATTTTAAAATGGGGCGATTTCCAAGTATACAGTATAATTATTTACATAAAACTCTTACAGGGCAAAATTGAAACTAGGAAAAATTGTCCGCAAGTGTGAAAGGTCCACGAAAATTAAGCTGTATACAGTATTTTGTTTCTCCTTTCCTACTACAACATTATTATTACAATTCTCTCAGATGGGACCAGATGTACAGATCTTTTTTACCAATGTTGTGGATTTAGCAAAGAAAAACACCCAGCAATTGATTCAGGTAATAATATTTAAATAATTGTTCTAAAGCAATTGTTCTTGTCATGATTTTTTTTTTATGGTAAAAACTTGCAGTAATATAATTTGATGTTGTTCTGACACACTGATTGAGACTTCAGAAAATTCGAAGAGATTATAAAATACAATAAATAAAAAAAATAATGAGCAGGCCAAGGGATTATCCATTCAGAATCGTATAACATGGGTGGATAAATCTTGCAGTTAATGAGTTAGTTAATAAAAAACCACATTAAATATACAGAAGATTTTACCATGCAAAATAATTTTAGGTCATGGAATTTCAACACAGCCACAGAAGAAGATACCTTTCGTATCTTGCTGCTCAGGTGAATCATGAATAATAATAGATGGTACAGAGGACACATCAGTAGCCATCTTGATATCACTATTGCAAATTTATTTGACTGGATAATTATAAAGATACATTTATAGGTGGACTATCACAGCTAGGGATAAGTAGCTTGCATAAATTTTATATTAAATTCACATGGATTTCATGAGAATTCTTTGCATGATTTAGAGAGAGAAGAAAAACAAAACTTGTGAAAAATTCATGCAATTTTGGCATTATAAGCTTTTATATGAATTTTCCATAAAGAGAAATATTGTGCAAAGAAAACTTCACATGAAATTTTAAAAAAAGTGAATTTCAAGAAGATAAAGTTAAAACTGGACTGTTGAATCAAGGAGTTTAGCTTTTTTTCCTTCAAAAGTAAAATAAAAGCCATGCAGTTATTTTATTTTTATGGTTTATGGTATAGCAAAATTAAGTGATAATAAATTTTTGCCACATATTTGTAAAAGTCTGATTCATAACTAAATTGAATTAACAAATTTTACACAAGTTTGTTTTCTTTTAGATGAGTAAGCAGAAAGAATTTATGGAGAAAGCTCAGAAAATGTACAAGTATACCCAAGAACTAGAAAAGTAAGTAAGAATTTTTAAATTGTTATCATATTTTAAATAATTATTATAATGGAGGTAAATTAATTTTTTTGAAATGCCTCAATCAGTATCTTATAAATAAAATTGTATAACTTCATTCACAATGCATTTAAGATAATTCACATTTGCTTATTCTTTAATTTACCATCTCTACACATGTATTGTTTTATTTTGTTTCACTTTTTAGAGAACTTACAAATTCAAAAGAAGAAATTGCTTACTTGAAAAGAGCTCTGAAGGAGCTGGTAAGTACGGGTTACAACACTATCACATGATCAGACAGCTATTATTACTAGGAATATCAAAGATAGGGTCAAATGAATGGGCTGAAGGCACTTGGAGGATTTTATATGTATTTAATGACCCCATTTTGAGCCCCTTTTTTTATGAAAAGCTATGCCAGTGTCTGAAGTAATGCATGGGGAATGATTAAATGACCTGTTCTACAGTGCTAAAAAAAACAAATAAATTGACTCCCAAACATCTGAATATCATCTTATAGATCTTATATGAATGATATGCATTATTAGCTGATAGCAAAATCACAAAAAAGACTATAAGGTTAAAAGAAATCATAATGTAAACCTGTATTAGATGCCAAAAAAGTGTCAGCAATTTTGTTGATTGTTTATCATTCCACTAATTTTGATTTTTTTAAAAAAAGAATTCTCAGCAGCATTATAACCATGTGGAGGTCAACTCAAACAAGTAAGCTTGCAATAATTGTTAAATTGATTTTTTAACACATTTTTTCCCCAATTGTTTTTAATCAGTTTATTACGTCACCTGAGTAAACTCAGGTGACCTATTGCCATCATTGTTAAATTGATTTTTTTGCGACATTTTTTCCGTCATGCGTTAACATTTGAACATTTTCAGCTTCTTCTCTGCAACCACTCAACCAATTTCTACCAAATTTGGCACAAATTTTGCCAAATTTGGCACAAAGCATCTATGGGTGAAGGGGAACAAAAATTGTGAATTTCATGATCTCTGCTCCCCTGGGGCCTGGGGGGTGGGGCCAAAACCACTAAAATTAATGCAATCTTTAAAAATCTTCTTCTTTACTCCTGGACATCAAGCAGTC